TATATATATATATATATATATATATATATATATATATATATATATATATTATCATATACTAATATATATTAATATTAACTATTTCCACAATCAACTCATTTTTCATAAAATTGGACTTAGGCAACACGTCAACTAAGAGCCTCCAACTGCATTTCCATCGAACCCATTAACAAGCTCTTAACTATAAATTATAAACTGTCAAGAATTACGGAATCATCGCCGGTAAACAAATGCATCGATCTCGAAGCAGCAACGTGTGCTAATCGAAAGCCACTTAGCGTCGCGTTCCTTTTCGATTTACGCAGGCGTGCGAGAACTTGTTTGAAGCTGCTCTAATCTGGGACTAATTTGAAGTCGTAACATCGAACTAAGTGAACTTTCGAATCGAACTTCGGCACACTGCGCACACCCGATATCAAGGAGAGGCAACGGAGAAGTAAATTTTCGTAAAATTCGCAGATCCGGTAAACGGATTTTGCGCCGTCTCGGCGCCACTGTGCGATGGGTGGCGGCTCGATCGTGTCAGCTTCCCAAGGAATTCACGGTCCGCTCGTTTCCCGCGCCCTCCCCAGCCTGCAAATAAATAGACTGCGGATCTTTGTGCACCCGGGGCCGGGCTCCCAAAAACGTCGCAGCCTCGAGGACCCGATCGAATTTAATACGGTCGCGTAATCTTTCTCGAAAACCATCGCCCCCCGGGCAGGTTACTTCTCTCTGTTTCGCTTCCGCGGGGCAGAACTTCCGGGGAAGTAGAACGGCTCGCAAACATCCGCAGCCCGGAAGCAGATTTCTCGGCTCGGTTCACCGGAAACGGGTCCGTTCTGCCGCGCCGAGAGCCTCGGATCGCTTGGATTTCCTCGGCTCTCCGATCCGCGACCGATCTTCATCGAACACGATATTGTTCCTCGAGGAGATCTCCAGCCGATCGACGGTCGGATTCGCGGAAGCGACGGCGCGCGGCGCGGTCAACCGGTGATAAAAGTCGAGAGGCCGTTTTGCTCGATTTTCGATGAGTTTAGCTCAGTGTGCAGTCATTTCTCCCCAATTCGCGCCGAGATTGCGCGCCAAAATGGACGTTTTGGGAAGAGGAGATACGATTCTTGGAGTCTTGCGTTATTATTATAAAGCCTCGCGGTAACTATAGAAACGTGCCGCGAGGTTCGAAGGTTAGAATCCTCTTTTCCCAATTTGTCGACTTTTGTGCGCGATCGAAGCGCGAATTAGGGAGAAATTACTGTGCCTCGCGACATGGCTACAAGAAAATCGGCTCGGTTTTACAATGTACAGTAGAGACTCCCTTATTTGAACGTTTATTATTGTCAATGCCATAGTTCTATTATCTAATTACGGTACTACAATAAATTCTTTCTAATTGACATACAGATTGTACACAAAAATGGACGATTTAGGAAGAGGAGGCTCGATTATTCGAGCCGTGCGGCTCGATTTTATAATTACTGATTGTCAAGAACTATAAAAACGAGCTGTCCACTTCCCAAATTGTCCATTTTTTTGCACAATCTCAGCGTCAATTAGGGAGAATTCACTGTAGTTAACTGAAATTTTAGTTCCAACTGAATGACGTATTTTTTGGGAAACTTTGCAGGATTGTTTAATATAATAATGATTTTTTAATAATAATACATTATAAATAATATTAATATTATAATTATACATAATATATTATATATAATATTCTATAATATATTCTATAATATATTATATATAAACATTTTATAATAATTTTATAATAGTCTATATAAAACTATAATAGTTGTTCAGCGAGGAAGCAGATGATTCTTTCCAACACTCATAAATCTGTCATTAGGAAGTCACCTAATTTTTATTGAATAAACTTACTCGCTTATTTAGATACATTATCGACAATCAGAGAAATGAAATTGTTGGATAATAGAACGTTTCTCTACCGGCATATTATAAAAAATATACCTTCGGATAAGAGAGTCTCTACTGTAAATCATTATTTTTCTTCTTTTTTACTTACGTGATGAACGTCGCGTCATCTGCTCTCGTTATTAGCGACCGTTCTTCAGAGATATTAATCCTCAATTAACATTAAACATACTGAGCAATAATGTATTAGCTCGTAAAACCGACGAGATCCAATTTATTTAGATTCGTACAATTTTCATTATAATATTTCCTCCAATAATGCAATTTCCTCAATTAATTCTCAGTGAAAGTGTTTCTATAATTTTTACAATCGTAAAATGAGAAACGATTCCTTCGACCATGATAGACTTAGCGTTAAAAAACTTCTAAAGAACGCCAAATGCCATTCGTCAATGTTTACAAAAAGTTCACAGAGAAAAATCCTCGAAAAAGCTTGACAAAAATCGTCCTAAAATCGAAGAATTCGACCTCGACAAATCCGTGAAATCTCGATAGCTAATTTTACAAGAAAAATGCTTCGATTTTCGTGTCCGAAATTCTTCGATTCACACTGCGCGGCGTCTTCGGAGCTCGCCAGATAAACGGATCGAAGGAATCGCTTGGAAGAAATCGGTGCACGAAGATCCGCAGTCCGCGACGACGCGATCAATCGGGGAGTATCGAGTGTTCTCGACGGGGATCTGACCGGTGGCGAGCACCCTTGCGAGCCAGGAAACGGGACCGGGGTCGGTCGTCTTTAAAAGAGCGAATTTTCCCGGTGGACGGAAGGTGAACCGGGTCAGTGGAGACTAGATGGCAAGGTGGGGGAGGCACTCAGGTGGTGAATCGACGTCGATCAATCATATCTTCTTGTTTTTTTCTTCTCAAACGGACCAGGAACGGGCATGACGACGGGGGGAGGGCGGGCGCAATTTTGATCTGGACTTGGACGATGGGCACAGATACCATGACAATACCGTCGGTAAAGTATAGTTATACTTGTCTACTGTCGTGTCGTTCGCTTCTGAAGCGGATCAATTAAAT